CATCCAGTCTATAACGGATCGATGTCCAGCAGCTTTTCCGTTACTATATAAATCGAGTTTCGACTTGTAGATGTCGTTTCCAAATCATATTGACCTTTTAATTCATTTACTATTCTATTTAACGTATATCATAAAACGATCGTGATCATTCTTAGATAAAATTTATTTTTCAATAAATTTATAAAATTAAAATCTAACCTATTATTGATTCAGCTACTTTCGGTCTAATTCTTCCACTAAGATCACGAACTGTTACACTAAATAGTGGTGTTTAACATTTATGATAATTACTAAGAATTTTATTCATTGCAATATGAGTTAAATATTGGATTGTTCTACTAAATGTTGTATATTGATTCAAAATTTTTTTTTCTCAAAATAAAAATATTTCATTTTTATAAGAAAAATTAATATTATTTTATATAGAATAATAATAAGAGTCATTAAACATGAATCACATTAACTAGAATAAATACGTCCAAGAGTATTTGATGTAGAAATATATTCATAAAATAACATCGATATATTTTAATATGTTGAATATTGAAGAAATTCAAGAAAAAAATGGTAAAATAACAAACAGTTTCAAGACTAAATTATAATCAACAACTTTTGGAAACATTCGATAGAAATGTATGAAAAACTAGAGTTTGTCTAAAAAGAAACAATAAAAGTTTTTATTCAAATAAATAAAAAAAACAAACCGAATTTTGGTTGGTAAATAAATAAATAAATAAATATTCGATTTGTTTGATTATAACTAAGTAAGGACCAAAGATACCGAATAGCAACATTCTTTAAAGAAAAAAATCAATAAATAATTAAAAAATTTTTTTTTTTCACTTGTTGTTTAAGGATAATTCGATCTTCATTAATTTGATTTTGATTATCTTTCATCATAAACTAAACAAAACAAAAATAGAATTTATTTTTTCTTTATTTAAAATATATCCTTTCATAAGTAAATTAACAAATAATTGTAATATTGATTTATCACTATGTTCAGTATCAGATTAAGTACTACTTTTAATAGAATTAGTTTCAAGTTTTTTCTTAACAATATTTAATTGTCGAAGATTAACTGTTGTTGTCGTTCGTCGTTGATGTTAAGAAAGATGTAATGATGATGATATTGATCTAGTTGAATGTGTTCTTGTAATAGATAAACCTATTTGATTTAATTTTCGAATAAAATTTTCATTTTCACTATTAAAGCCAATAATACATTGTGAACTTATTGATTCAACTGATTCTTCGATAATTATTTTAGATTCAATTGATAATCTATCAAAATAATTAAGAAAAAAAATAGCCAAATAAATATTTTTCTTATTGAATAATTACATAATAATATTGTATAAAGTTTTGATAAATGATGTAAGATTATTGAATGATCATTTATTAGAGTATTAATTTAAAATAAAAGTGCACATATAATACTTTTAAATGATGCATTATTTAATTTTTCTAATGAAGACACATCTTTTTGACTAATAGTTAGTTCAACATCTTTAATTAATGTTATTAAATAAAGAAAAGCATAAGCAAGTACAAAAAGAACATTAGAATTATTTTCAATTAAATTTGTTTTAAGAAGTATACTATTTGCAATGGCACGTGTACCTAAAACAAAAAAGAAAAATATTTATTTAATTATCTATATTCTTTAAAAATTTGATTTTTCAAATTTACCAGCTGATGAACGAACTTTCAAATGTGTACGTGAAAAATTTTGTTCAAGTATATTTCATAAGGCAGCTTTTTCAGCTTCATAATTAAATGCATGAAGAAGTAATGATACACTACATTGATTTAAATGAGTATGTTTTAATCGAAGAATTTTTCAAATATTAAATTGAAAAAATTTTCTTTTTTAATTAAAAAAAAACAAATAAATTAATTAATTTACTGTGAAACGAGTCATTTTTCAAGAGAATAAGAAAGAAAACTTTGATTATCTTTTGATGTTGTTTTCAAAACATTGATCATTTAAAATTAATTATTTACCAAAAAAAACATAATAAATACTAAAGTGCAACAATATCAATAACTTGATATAATTCCTAACAAAATTTTTTTTTATTAAATATTAATTTGAAAATTTTATTTTTTATTTGACGAACAGAATCGAAAAAATTGTAAATGAATATTAAGTGTATTAAATTTAAGAATAGAAAACATCCTGTGATATTATCGATATTTCACTATTAGGATTATTTTCAATTTTAAGTTCAAGGCTTATTGTTGCTGCAATTGGAACTGTCGCATTAACATTAATCGGAACTTTTTCTTTATTATTTAATGTTATAGATGATAATCAACTTAGATTATCACCATCTGATAACATTCTAATAGCTAGAAAGAAAAATTTTTATTTCTCATATATAAACAATTGAGAGAGATAGATAAAGATCCCATGTGATAAATAGAGCCTAGGTTTGTCCCAATGGACTCTAGTGATAAGAAGGGAAAAAAAAGTTGACTTCTTACTACATTTTACTTTGCTTGATGATGTAGCTAATGAAATAAATGTTTGTTGTTTTTACTTAAGTTCAGATAATTTAATTTTATCTCGTGATGAAATACATTTAAGTACATATTGTGCTATTGAAAACCATTAAATATATTCTTCAGAAAATGAGCATTAACTTGATGATGTAGGACAATGATGATGACGTGTCCATGGTAATATTAATTGTTTATTCATTAAAGATAAGATTTGTTTTGATAATGGATTATACATTTCTTGATGTTGTGATGTTTGTTGAAGTTCCATCTAATCAAAAACAAAAATAATAAATTAAATGAAAAATAAAAAATAAAAAACTTTACTTGTTTAAGAGTCATATCAATCATCATAATACAACATGTTTAATTCGTCTTACTTTCATTAATAATAAATTCTTCTTCATTGTCTTTTATAATTGAAACTATTTCTTGTCGAGGTATTTGTTATAACATTAATTGATGATGACATGTTTTATATGTATCAAAAACAAGAAATTTATTTGCTAATGTTGATGATAAAGCTGTTGTTAAATCAGCAATACTACTTGAAAGATTTTGAACATTTCCATCATCTTGTGATAATATTATTAAATTAAAACCAAAATCAATTGATTGTTCATTTGATGATAAACCAGTCATTGTATGACGTTCACGACTTTGAATACATGATTCAAGTTTTTGTAAAGAATTTATATCAGTTATAATGGGTGACCCATAATGAATCGCCGCATTTTGCATTGCATATTTTAATTTCTAAATACATCTTATTAAAAAACAAAACAAAATATACCATAAAATGCAGCGTGAAGCACTCTACAATTTACAAAGAACAGTTTATTTTAATTGTGTACTTTTTATTTTCAAAACAGTGCGAACAATTTGCGCAACGGCGAAAATTGATCTCACAGAATTTTTCTTTTTTTTGAAACCAAAAAGTACACAATCGAAATAAGCTTTTTTTTTTGTAGATTTTAGAGCTTTTCACACTGCATCTTGTGGTATATTTTGTTTCTTTTTTAATAAGACTTATTTAGAAATTAAAATATGCAATGCAAAGTGCAGCCATTCATTATGGGTCATCCGTTAAATATTTGGACAAGTAAAGGAACTGAAATATATATATATATATATATCAATTAAACATAAGATTTGTAACCATTGTAAAGCTTGTTCTTGTATATTTTCAGGTGCAGAAGATTGAAAACGATCGGTTATTAAATGATATAATTGATAACGTGTTAATTATGATAGAGACATCTAGATCGGGATCAAATATTTTCTATTTAAAAAAAATATTTTAAAATTTAAAAGAAAAATAAATTAATTATCGAAAGAGTAAATTTCATTAAAGTTAATCATTTTCTGGTACTTCTAATTGAATTGATTCCATCGAATAAGACATTATATTGTCCCAAATCTATCGCAGACAAGAATAATAGATTCAGTTTTGTAAAAATATAAAACTTACTTCATATGTAATTATTCCATCAGGCATTAAATCATATAATTTATTAAGACATTCAATAACTTGTGTTGTACGATTAGTCATTGTTTTCTAAAATAATATATTTAATAAATTTCTTTTTAATAAGATTTCTCTTACCAAACACCACCAACTTTTGCATATTCAACTGTATAGTGGAAGAAATAAATACAACAAATTCTTTGTTTTTTTTTTATTTCAAATTTTTATTTATCTAAAACACTTCCAATTTCATAGCTTAGTAAACGAACAGTCAACATAGAAACTAAAGAAATAACATACTTAAAAGACATTCAAATATTTTCTGAATTAAATCCGAAATTTTTTTTTTTTCGATAAAAATAAAATATTTTTCATACCAATGGTTCATGTGAGGTCAGTTCAATAAGAGCCAAAGTTAAATAAATTTCATATCGACTTAATAATTTTCTTCCAATATTAATATCCAACACTTAAAACATATTTAACGTATTATCAATATTTTCAACTTAAATAGATTCTTTTTTCATTACTTATTGAATCCACAATATGTTTTTCTTTAGTATTATCTATTTAACGTAAAGACTGATTATAGCTTCCCATGTAAAAAAATTTAACAGAAAAATCAAGAAATACATGATTTTCATCGATTTCAAGCATAATTAATCAATGAAAATCCAGAAATGTTGATTTTTTTCGATTAATTTGAAGATTATAATCGATTTCCTTGCATAATTGATTCAAAATCAAAGGTTTTTCATCGATTATCGTCAATTCTTTTCATTGGAACCGAATGAAATCGATTATAACCAACTATAATCGGTTTGCTACGATTTTTGTTAATCAATTAGAATCAATTTTTAGGGATAATCAATTTTAATCAGTATTTGATGATTTTTTGATCGTCTAAACCAACTATCAAGGATTACAATCTACTAAAATCGATTAAGTATTCGAATCGATTATAATCATTAAAGTAAGAATCGTCTAAAATCATCCGATACTGATTGTAATCTAAAAAACGATTAAGTTTTCAAATCGATTACAATTATTAACATAAGAATCGTCTAAAATCAACTAATACTGATTATAATCCACCACAATCGATTAGGTTCTTTATTTTCTAAAGATGTAAATTTTCTTTATCGTTGTCTACATGAGTAGATAAATTAAAACACGTTATGAGAGAAGTAGAATGCAAGTGAAAAGGAATGAAAAATAAATTATTCAGCGGAATGAAGCAGTGTGATGATGCCAAAATGCAGTTGTGATGATTATTACAGAAAAAAGTATATGGGAGTGGCTAGTCAACCTGACACTCCAATTCTTTTTTTGTATGTGAAGCTTCTATAATATATCAGAAAAATATGATGTGTTTTTACCGGTTATAGTCCTCATATAATGCTGATGATCTGTCAGGGATAAGGAGGTCTATGACTTGTTGGAAATCAAAATAATCAAGTGTCTTCAAAAAACCTTTTTGTTATTTACGAACATGTTTTGTGAAGACTTGATTATCTTGGTTTTCAACAAGTTATAGACCTCCTTATCCCTGACAGATCATCAGCATTATACGAGGTCTATAACCGGCAAAAAAAAATCGTATTTTTCTGATATATTATAGAAACTGCACGTACAAAAAAGGAATTCGGATATCAGGCTGACCGGCAACTCCCATATATTTTTAGACTAATGACTACTTTAATGCAGTATTTTACAAAAAAAATGAGGAAAAAAGTTTAATTATTCTTCGATAATAGAATGCACGTGGCTTCATAATTAAAAATCGCAATCGAGTTGTTACAAAACTTCTTAGTCAACATTTGTTTCATTGCTTTTCACAGTTAAACTGGAAACTGCAATTGAA